CTTCATAGGATACATCCTTATAACAACCACTAATAGTTCTAGCACATAGAGCTCTACAAGAGTTCAAATATCTTTCAGATCTTCTATAATGAATATGATTTTTCCAAACTTCGAAAGCATAACCAGTAATAGGAACAACAGCCATAGAATAAATAGTCTGAAGGGCTTGCCAAGGGGGAGCCCATATGCGGGATAAATGTCTTCTTAAAGTTGAGAAAAGTCCTTTAGCTTTTAAACAAACTGTCTTTATATGTTCTTGATAATTCAGTTTTTGATCTAAGATTACACCAAGATATTTAACCGATTGTAAACCTCTTAAGGGAATATTATTTAGTTTAATAGAAGGACGTCTTACTCTTTTACCAGCAAACATAACGTAATTGCATTTATCAATCGAAAAAGATAACTTATTATCATCAGCCCAGCTATTAATACTATTAAGAGCAGAATTAGTAAACTTTTCTAAATCACCTCTATTATCAGCAAAAGAAATGACCGCAATGTCATCAGCAGCAGTATTCCAAAGAAGAGGACCCAGTACAGATCCTTGAGGGCAACCTCTAGATAAAGTTTTATATCTAAAAGATTCATTAGAATCACTCAAAGATAAAGAAGTAGTTCTATTTTTAAGATAACTTTTAATAAAATTAACAGAGTCACAGGATAAACCCTTATTAATAAGAGAGTGAATAATGGTAGGCCACCAAACATTATCAAATGCTCCTTTAATATCTAAAAAACAAGTTATTAAAAATTTTGAATTATTTGTTTTGATAAAATTAGTAACATCCAAAATAGCATTGGTAGTAGATCTACCTTCTCTAAATCCATATTGATTTTTATAATGGAAATTTTGTTCAGGGATTTCATTAAAAAGAATTTTTTTAATAATTCGTTCAAGAACTTTGCCTAAAATTGGTAAAAGAGTAATAGGTCTCAGATTTTTTAGTGAATTATTAGAGGAAATATTAGATTTTGGGATAAGAATTAATTTACCATGTTTCCAAACATCTGGAAAATGACTAAATCTAATACAATCATTAAAGATTCTAGTAAGTAGATTGACAATAATTGGAGCAACGGTCTTTATGACAGTAGGAAAAACATTATCTGGACCTGGAGCTTTTTTGATAGAAAGATCGTTTAACAAAACTAAAACTTCATCTTCAGACACACAATATGGATCAGTGACAGGAATGGTTCCAGTTAATAAATTAGTTGATTCTCTAAAAAATTTATGATAGAAAGAGTCTTTTGAGTGATCATCTGAAATAACAAAATTATCCAAAATAGCCTCAGAGGATTCACCCAAGGTAGTAGAAAATTTACCTTTATATGGAATACTAGTAGGAATATGTTTATTATTACAACGATTTCTAGCTAGTTTATAAGGAAGACTCCAAGGGTTACATTCTAGTTCAGATATAACAAATTGGCTCCATGAAGAAGAGCGAGTTTTATCAACAATATTTTTAAATTTATTAGCAGCAGATTTATAAATTAACTTAAGGCCATCTTTCAAATATGAAGGAGCCTTTTGATAGGCTCTTCTGGATTGGTTTAAATTAATTCTGGATCTATCTAATTCATCATTCCACCATAAAGGCTTATTTAAAAATATTTTACGTTTCATTAAAAATTTGGTTCCAATATCTTCCAAAAGATTATTTAAAAGTTTGGCTCTTAAATCAATATGATAGGTAGTAGGATACCACAATAATGTATCAATTTTAGAAATGCCAATGATACAAGCTTCAATAGCTTTAACAGTGTCTAAAGCCTTTAAAGATCTGGACCAAGTATATTTATTAGATTGATAAAAATTATTATTTAAAGAAAGAGAAAATGATAAAACTCTATGATCACTAGGACACACATCCTCATTAATAGTCCAATCGTTAATATAATTAAGTAAAGATGATGAACACAAAGTAATATCAATATTACTTTCGCCAAGAGTGGAACTAAAAGTTTTAATAGATGAAGGAGAATTTACAACATGCAGATCACAACCCAGTGCAAAACCTTCAAAAAGTTCACCTCTAAGATCAAGAGTGTCGGAATGCCAAATTGGATTTTTAGCATTAGAGTCAGTGCCAATAATACATGGGAAATTAATATTATCAATAATAGGAGTTAGTAGATCTAATTTATTAGTAATATCTTCATTTGGAGGTAAATAGGCGCTGATAATAAGGGTTTTTAAAGGTCCACACTCAATCGTGATCGCAACAATACAACTCGAATTATAATTTTGTAATGATAAAATATCCAGACAGCCATTAAGGATAACGATACACGATAAAAATGGTTCACTATTGTATGCAATAGTTCTAAAATGACCAATGTTGGGAATAACAAATTTATTATTTATTTTTGAAAAGACGCAATAGGGTTCCTGCACTAAAACAATATCAAAATCAGCAATAAATGGAGAGTTAAAGAAAGAAAAAGATGCGTTTTTGGAATGATGTAAATTAATTTGGCAGAAACGTAATTTATTTAAACGTTTATTACTCATAATCAGTATTTTCAATAAGCATTTTGATTTTTCTTGTATGAGCAATACATTTATCAGAACCTGGGATATGTTTCAGGTCACAATTAATATTTTTGTACAAAGAACAACAAGCACATTTTAGGAAAGCGATATTATTGGCATTGGGACAGTCCCTTTTATCATGATCTTCAGAACAATGAGCACATCTAGACGTAGTAGATAAACATTTTGAGGATGTGTGACCAAATTTAAAACATTTATAACAGATAGTAACTCTGATACGGTCTTCAAGTCTACAATTAGACCATCCAATACCGATGTATTTAAGATCGAGTAAATCTTTCCTTAATATAGGTGAAACTTCGATTGCCCAATGGACAAATGGTTTATTTCTAGCTCCAAATTTATGAATAGCTTTGATATCATTATTGTTGTATTTAGAAGAAAGGCCATTTTGATTTAAAATAGTAGAAATTAAATCATTATCATTTAAGTTAGTGGGAACATTAAAAATAGATAATCTAGGACGATTTTTTGTAGGAATAGAGACTTTTAAAACGCCTGTGTATAGCTGGCCATACACAGGCGTTATTTCGCGCGGTTTATCGTGGCGTGTTGGGATGTAGCGGTTAGTATGCACGAAAGAACGGCATGGCAAAAAAAGCGTCATGTTCCATACACTTGATAAAGTATTCAAATGATTTAGCAAGTGATTGCCCGTGGTATATCAGTTTCAAAGGAAAAATCGTATCGTATCGTATGTGAGTGGGCAAAAAGTGTCATTTATCGAGTCGTTTGAAACTGCATGTGATCATGTACAAATTTCAACGTGAAATTTTGCCAAGCAAAGGTAAACCGTGACGCGGAATGTGGCGTGTGGACACGCCACACTCCAGAGAAAAGCACGTCTGAAATCCCTTCCCGTTCTATCATTTCGCGCGGCGATACTCACTCACGTACATGATTTTCCATATGTTTTTGCAGATAACACGATAAACCGCGCGCAATAACGTCTGTGTATGGCCAGCTATTGCCTGTGGTATATCAGTTTCAAAGGAAAAATCGTATGTGAGTGGGCAAAAAGTGTCATTTATCGAGTCGTTTGAAACTGCATGTGATCATGTACAAATTTTCAACGTGAAATTTTGCCAAGCAAAGGTAAACCGTGACGCGGAATGTGGCGTGTGGACACTCCACACTCCAGAGGAAAGCACGTCTGAAATCCCTTCCCGTTCTATCATTGCGCGCGGCGATACTCACTCACGTACATGATTTTCCATATGTTTTTGCAGATAACACGATAAACCGCGCGCAATAACGTCTGTGTATGGCCAGCTAATGGATATAAAAGCAGTTTTATGGGCACTGTACGCATAATTTATAGAGCTCTATCAGTTAAATCTAGTTAACTACACTATTACGGCGAAATGAAAAGGTCATTACAAAACTATTAAATACTTTTGTGTTTTTGTATTGAGATAATAACATAATTTTCATATTTAGTATTATTTTACAAGAAAGGCACTTTATTTTAAGGATTGTATGACATTTGACAACCGTCAACTAACTTAAATCTAACTTCAGCCATAAGGCCACAATTTGTCAATGTGTATTTAAAAGGTCACTGTCATGGAAACATGTGCGATAATGGGCGTTTTATAGGTGGGAGAAGAAAGAGTATAGTCGTCTATATACTTTTCTTGACACGCATTTAATTAAACACTAGCATGCCTAATTAAAAGTCGTGACTAAAATGGCGTTTATCAAAATTGATACATATGTATCAATTTTCAGAAATTAAATTAGAATATTATATAATATTCTAATTTAATTTCTGAAAATGTTACTCAAATGTAGTTTGATACCTAAATAAAACGTATTTTTTAATTTGTTAAAATATTTCCGATAGCGGGATGAATTGCAAAAACCACCTAAACCTCATTAAATTAACACAAAAATTGAATTTCCTAAATAAAAACTTGTTCATATATTTTTTTTTAAATAACATTGAAATCCGGAGTTGAGAATTAAAATTTCAATTAAATTTTAAGTTAATAAGTTTTTACATTGTACCTTGATAAAGCATTTTTTAGGGGTGAACGTATACCTATGTATATAAAATCAATAATAGTAAAGGTGGTTTGATAAATTCAAAGTAACTTAAAGCTGGATAAATAAAAACAAAAAACTATAGGTAGTGCTAAAGCCAATTTATTTACTGAGTGCAAAGTTAATCGCAAATTTACCCTGCCAAAAATATCAGCCAAATTTTCCGGTATAAAATGTTGACACCTAAAAGGTGCAAAGGTCCACCAATCCTCACTCATCACAAAAAGTTATGCTAATGTTTTGCCCTAATCAACGCTATTGTCAAAGGTTGCGCGCATCGACCCTTCGACAGTTTGCGCAACAGAAAAAAATTAGTTTGCGAATATTTTCTACCTACTAATATAATAGGTAGTAATGAAAGTGACTGCAATATTCTAGAATTATTTATTACCTTGTTTAAGTTGGGGTCTCTGAGTCTGTCTAATCCGCTGCTTTTGCTGGGGATGACGTTGTCACCGGCACCCCATATGCCCAGACGGTCGCGTTCCATGTTTTCCGACATTTTTCCCTTGACTGGCTGTGGATTGGCGTTCTGTCTCGCCGATTGTTCACTGAAAATTGCAACAATAATTGTAAACGTAGCGTAGATATATTAGGCGATCGTCTACTGAGGTCGACGCATGCGCGATGTCGAGCGGACTCGATCAGCTGACGGCGTCGGGGCGCATAGTCGAATTTTACGAGCGGTATTTGAACTGCGTTACTTTTACTTGCAACTTGAATTACCTATATTTTTTGTTTAAATTTGTTTTGTTCGCCCGTAGTAAATTTTTGAAAAATGGATAGAAACATGACATTTTTTCTGGAAAATGTGGCCATAAATGTTTTTTAAATTGTAGGTACTACATAAAAAAATATTTTAAAAAAATTGTTTTTTCTAAAAAAGGCAAAAAAAATTGAGGTCAAAATTTTGACATTGCCACATTTTTTGACTTCATATTTTTTCGTTTAAAGTGATATATGAACAACTTTTACCAAAAGTCCTAAATTGGCTAAATTCGTCATTTTGGAATAATTATTTTTTTAATGAAAATTCCATTTTATAGTAAATTCGTGGTCCATCGCAATCATGAAACTACACTGCGCGTCAAAATTAACGCATAACAAGTTAAAAAAATCCAACTCTAAAACGCCTTTACCAATCTTTATAAAATTTTGGATAAAAATACTTTAACTTATATCTCAGTATACGTGTTTAAGGGTTTTTCAAGAAAATATCCTTAAAGCCCTTTTATTTAATAATAAAAAACGCTCGAAAAAAAACTTTTATAGGGAAATTTTTTTAAGTAATTAAAAAATATGCTGTGAAAGACCGTATTTTTGTTAGTATTCCCTAAAAATTTTGTACAAATAAAACGAACAGTAACGAAGATACATCGCTTCAAAGGCGGTAAAAATGACGCCTTTTTGATTATTTTGCTGAAAAGTGCTACTAACAAAAATACGTTCTTTACGAGCATATTTTTTATTTATTATAAAACAGGAAAATATTGGAAATTGCAATGTTTTTTTTAAAAAATCCATATTTTCCACAAAAATAAATATATCAAGGTGAACCAAAAACAAAACTGTTAAAAATATATGTGACTTGATAATTAAAACTTAATTTAGAACAATATACGGTTTAGCCACTCTACAGAGTGTCTTAAACTTATGGTAAAAAACATCTTTTTGTTTAAACGTGTATATTATAAACGTATGTGTATTTTTTAGTAATTTTTAAAATGTGAGCGATTCCCCATTAATGTATCTACAAAATTATTTAATATTTGTGTAAATCCAAAAATTTGTGTGGATCGATTATTTTGCCTGTGAGTGTATTTAGCATCAAATTTAGAAATAGTAGATTTTTTTTATGACCAACCAGCCTATTACAAAAAAATAATTTTAGTTTTGGAATAAAGTATGGTTTTGGAATAAAGTATGGTTTTTCAATTTTTGAAAGCTCCTAAAACCCATCACACTACTTGGCCCAAACATGAAGCAGAAAAGTCAATTCAAGGCACTCTATAGATATAGAAATAAAATTTAATTAAAAAATTATTTGACCTGTCAAAAATTAACAAATGCATATTATGTACCTATGTATTCAGAATTTTATTTTGAATCGAAATATGTAAAAATGCATAGGGTGTTTCATTAAAAAAAAAAGTTAAGACCATTTCCGATGAAACCAGAAGTGATAAAAATATGTAATAAGTTTTGGTAAAATTTTTCCAAGAAAAAATGTCACTCGTAAAAAATCGATGTTCTGTCCATTTTCAAAAATTTTCAACAAAAGAAATTTTAAGCAAAAAGAAAAAATAAAGATCTCATCAATTTCGGTAGAGAAACTTTATAAAAATTTCGTTAAAAAATAACGACTCACCCCTTAAGGGGAAAATTTTCCCTGGTCGATTTGAGATGGAAAGGCCCTAGGTATATCATAAGTGTTTACAAATAAACCAAAACCCTAAAATTAGCATAGTTAAAGTTGGGTATTTACGTTACATTATCCAGCACAAAACTCATCATCAAATTTTCGTTCCATTCTGCCATTTTTCACAAGGTTTATGCTTATTTAAACGATTTGATATTGATCACTATAATTTTGACGTTTATGACAATATAAATTTAATGGGAAGGAAAATGCATAAGGGGCCGTTCACATATGTTTTTAACGTTTTTTTGACACTATAAATTTACTAAGGAAACGAAAACCATAGATTGACGACCTCCCTACTACTACTACTCCCCCTCAAAAACTACTCGTCAGCTATAGTCGCAGCCAAATCGGCAACTGCATATGACGTCAGCGTTAAGGTCTATTCATACGTGCCCAGGCACAATCTAACGCTCGTGTATTGTTGACTGTTTAATAATAATAATAATAATAATTTATTTATGCCCAACAGAATTACATTCCAATTTTTTTACGGTTTCGTCACGTTGTGCTACCTGGGTAACGCATTGATGACGTGCACCCATCCTAAAAGGGTCTTATCATCATTTTTTCTTTGGCTACTGAAAATGTTATCATGCGGAGTCTGAATTGAATATAAAAACCTCAGATTCCTGAGTCAGGAAGGACCCTGACCCCGAATCTCGTTAATGTTATAAATTTAGGACGGAAGTCGCGATTTTAGGAGTCCGATTATGAGTCATTTTTTCTGACAGATGACAGTTTGTGTTTGTTTATTTACCTGTTTGAGCGTTTTTGGTTTGTTTAATCCCTGTTAAAAAACTTTATAAAAATTTCGTTAAAAAATAACGACTCACCCCTTAAGGGGAAAATTTTCCCTGGTCGATTTGAGATGGAAAGGCCCTAGGTATATCATAAGTGTTTACAAATAAACCAAAACCCTAAAATTAGCATAGTTAAAGTTGGGTATTTACGTTACATTATCCAGCACAAAACTCATCATCAAATTTTCGTTCCATTCTGCCATTTTTCACAAGGTTTATGCTTATTTAAACGATTTGATATTGATCACTATAATTTTGACGTTTATGACAATATAAATTTAATGGGAAGGAAAATGCATAAGGGGCCGTTCACATATGTTTTTAACGTTTTTTTGACACTATAAATTTACTAAGGAAACGAAAACCATAGATTGACGACCTCCCTACTACTACTACTCCCCCTCAAAAACTACTCGTCAGCTATAGTCGCAGCCAAATCGGCAACTGCATATGACGTCAGCGTTAAGGTCTATTCATACGTGCCCAGGCACAATCTAACGCTCGTGTATTGTTGACTGTTTAATAATAATAATAATAATAATTTATTTATGCCCAACAGAATTACATTCCAATTTTTTTACGGTTTCGTCACGTTGTGCTACCTGGGTAACGCATTGATGACGTGCACCCATCCTAAAAGGGTCTTATCATCATTTTTTCTTTGGCTACTGAAAATGTTATCATGCGGAGTCTGAATTGAATATAAAAACCTCAGATTCCTGAGTCAGGAAGGACCCTGACCCCGAATCTCGTTAATGTTATAAATTTAGGACGGAAGTCGCGATTTTAGGAGTCCGATTATGAGTCATTTTTTCTGACAGATGACAGTTTGTGTTTGTTTATTTACCTGTTTGAGCGTTTTTGGTTTGTTTAATCCCTGTTAAAAATCACCCATAGAGACCAATAGAAACCAATAAAAAATCAGAATGGAATGAATTGGTCTCTATTGGGCCTATTGGTTTCTCAACAGAATGAGAATTGGTTTCTATTGGTAATTTCCGTACTGGAAAATGCCAATAGATTACCTAATGGTCTGAATTGGTTTTTATAAGAAGTTACAAGTACAGGAAATTCCCAATTGAAATTCAATTGGTAAATACCACTTAAATGTTCAGCGCCTGCGCAATTTAATACAAATGACCACTTGTTTCTATTGGCAATTTTCTTACTGGAAAATACCAATAGATAAACTAATGGTCTGAATTGGTATTTTATCGGTTTGTAGGTACAAGGAACCCCAATAGGTAGGCAACCCATGCATACCTCTCGCCTCTGTAGCACAATACATAGGCCTATAAAGGTGGAATGCCTTGAGCTGCTAAGTAAGGATTCCTTACTAAGGCAAAATTACTGGCCATGGAAACGCCTGGCGTTTTGGAATTTTTAAAGGGGCACAGGTCGTCCTGTGGCCCACTCTGCGAAAAGTAAGCAGTGGGCCCCACTACTTACTTTTAGCAGAAGCTATTTATAAAATTTAAATTAAATGTTAAACAGCACTATTTTTGGGAAATTATTTATCCATCAAAACACGTAATTTTTTACCTTAAAGAACGTCTAAAATGGATAGTGGGGACCAATTCAAACCAATAGCGGTACCTCTGGAAAATCCAAATAGCTCTATTGGGAATTACCAATAAAATATATCTATAATATATCTATTGGGAATTACCAATAAAATACGATTAGTCTCTATCGGTCTGTATTGGGATTTTCCAGCGGTGTCGCTATTGGTTTGAATTGGTAATTCATGGTACAAATACCACTATTGAGACCAATTCAAACCAATAGAGCTGCCGCTGGAAAATCCCAATAGCTTTTCTATTGGTCTTTATGGGTGATTTTTAACAGGGATACTATTAAATTAATAGCGTTTTTTGTTGTTTAATAGCGCTTATGGTTTGTTCTATGCGTTTTTGTTGTTTAATAATTAAACCATGCAAAGAATTAAACGTTATAGCTGGCGAAAACGATAGTCCGCCATTTATGGTCAGCTATTTTCTATCATTATTCCTTTTTTATTCAAAGTATTTATCCGAATGTGGAGGGGGTAGAATTAGTTTTAATAAAGTGGTCAAAAATTGAATAGGCATTTATTTTAACCAAATGTTTGAAATTTAAAATTTTCTCTTTAAAACGTCAAAATTATGTTCTTGGATTTAAAGTGAAGTTTTATTGAGCATATAGGCCTAAGATAAAATAGTTTTCTTAATGGGTTTTATTGAGTGCATCAAGGGTAGGTACTCCATAAAACTACAGGGTGTCCAATGTAATTTTTAGACAAAGTTTTGAAAAATTAAGTGCCAAAGATTTTGTTGTCCAAATGTTG